CATTCCCACATACCGCTACAAGGGGCTCCTCCATGTCCCTATTTTTGGCCCCAGCTTTTCCCGGCTGAGGCAGAAAAGTGGGGGAAGAGGTCGGCAGTGTGGGCTCCCCCATCCGGTACTGCTGGCAGCTGGAGCCTCCCAGCTCCTTCGACAGCGGGGAGGGGAGGGGAGGGGAGGGGGAAGACCACCAGCTGGGCTAGGGATCCCTCCCCAAGACCTAGAGTGCGCTTCAGACAGACCAGGAATAATTCCAGGCACCGTCTTGCGTTAGTGGGTCTTTCCTACCTCCAAATAAAACGCTGTTGTACTTCCTTTCGGGCGGGATGCCCAGCCTCCCGCTGAACCAGTCCACGCCAGCTTGCACAGTCCTGTAGAGCCCATCCTGGGGAGGAAGGAAAGGAATTGGGCCAAGGGAGGATCATGGGAGCCGTCTCCTGCTCCAACCTCTTTCCTTTCTGTAGGAATCATTTATTTTGAGGAAATGAAAAAAAAAATACCAGGGAAGGTCTCTGACAAAGCAGGGAAGTTTCAGAAACAGGCCTTTTAAGTCTCAAAAGCACACTGATATTTTTTGACATCAGAGCGGATGATCACTGCGTGCCTCGGCAGTTGCTCTATGGCGTTCTGGGGTCTGGGAAGGGACCTCGAGGTCGACCACACAAGCGCTGCAAAGGCAGGTGAAGGGAACCCTACACCACTGCGCCGTCCAGCCGAAGGACTAGCAGCTGCGGCCGCCGACAGAACCCGCTGGCCAGCCCTGTGCCGGGAAGCCTCCCCGGCTCTGAAGACAGGCGCCGCCAAAAGCTGATGGCAACCGCGAGCGGCATCACAGAAGAACACCCACAGCTACGGCCGCGGTGGACTTCTGGCACCCCACTCGTGCTGGACTCTTTATTCACGCGGAAGCCTCCCCTTGACCAGATGGTTGCAGGGATACGATTTCCCCTTTGGGGAAGCAGGAAACCGAGCGGGGCTGAAGAGCGCTCCCTTCCAGTTAGACACCAATATGCCACAGTCCCAGAAACAGGAAGCACGCTGATCTGCGATTTTCCTGATCAGAAAAAGTAAGGT